TCACCCTGAGGTCAGTAACGACTTGCTTACCTCCTCCTGGAAGAGGTTCTGCCTGTTCTTCAGGGACCGGAGCTTGGTCTGCTTCTCTTCATGCTGGAGTTCTTCCTCGGGGTGCTGGAAGTAGTTGATGAGATCCTGCAAGCTGAGAATCACCCCTTCAATGGGAAGAGTCACCGGCGTGCTGGACTTGGTCTTCCCCAGCAAGGTGTCCAGGCCTCTGGAAGACGGAGAAAAGCAGGAGTCAAAGAGGTTTCACAACTGCCCCCCCCACAAGAAGCTAGTCCCTGGTGATATCCGGGGGGGGAATAGGACCTGCACAAGGCTCACTTGATGAACTGGTTGTAAAGGCCCGAAGTGTTGTAGATCATCCGCGCCGCTTGGGACTGCTCTTGCTGGCAGCGGGTGAGCGAGAGGGCATCGTCCATATGCCCTTCCTGATGCAAGATGGCCTGTGGAGGAGCAGAGATGCGTTAAGGGAAGCTCGTGGAATCCTAAGCCCAGAAGGGATCTTGAAGGTCTTCTAGACCAGCCCTCCCTCCAACCCCTGGGCCGCAGCCTACTACTGGGCCTTGAGCCGTTCAGAACTGGGGCGCAGAAGCGGCAGGCGAGTATCTGAGCACATATCCCCAGCAGTGTGAGCCACAGCCAAACACGCTCATGTGTGCGCAAGCGGCGAGCGCGCGGGCCTGCTGCTCGTACTAATGGAGCCGGCTCTCAAACACGACAAACCCTCTGTAGTTAAATCGATGGTTCCCGTATTAGGAGTGCCAACAACCCCAGCAAAAAGTTTCTTTCGAACTGTGGGGTTGGCAAGAGCTGGAGCAAAGGACGGGAGCTCACCCCATCCAGTGGCAGCAACAGGTCTCGAACATGAGCCTGCTGATCATCAGCCCAGCATTTTTCCCCTCGTGTACAAGTTCTGACCCAGTTCCCCAAACACAACGAACCATCTGAAGTTAAACCGATGATTCCTTTAGTAGGAGCGCCAGCACCCTCGGCAAAACGTTTCCCTCTCACACACAGCAGACGAACAAGTCCGTCCAGCAGGGAGATGAGTAGTAGTCTGCCACATCAATTCATCTCCGCCCCCTGCCTTTTATCCCCAGAGCTAGGGCGGGGATAAAGCAGCGGTGGCTCTTCCGTCCCAAGGACCGGCCCATAGATTTCTACTGCTCTCCTCTCCTCTCCCTTCTACACATCCGTGCATCAGGCACCGGACCCAGCTGTTCCTCCTCTTTCTCATCAGCCACCTCCAGACCTGGGGGCTGTTGATTCTCCATCTGAGGGCTGATGGACGGCCCAGGCTCCGCCTCTCTCTCTCTCTCTCTCTGCCAGTTCCACTCCCTCTTCTCCCTCAGAGCTGCCCTGATGCTGATCCTGACTCCCACACCGCCTCTTCCTCCTCTGATTTGGCTGGTGACGGGCCACAACACGTACATTTGCCTGCTATTCACTCAGAACCATCCCCTCTCCCTTCCTGCTGGTCTGCTCCTACCGTTGCCCAAGGCAGGAGCCCTTATATTCAGAGACTAAGGCAGCTGGGAGTCTCACAGCAGCGATCCAACAGTCCAGTACTGGACTCTGGGCCAGGAGCACCTTGCTTTTAGGTTGTCCAGGTTGGGTGGTATAGAAATTTAATAAATCAATAAATTAATCCCACCAGCCACAACTTACCCTTCTCTTGAGCAAACCCAGACGCATTGCCTTGGCGTCGGCGGCTGCATAGGTCACCCAGAGACCGCTGTCCACGTGTTGCACAAAGCACATGGACTCTCCGTATTTGATCTCCGGGGCGCCCATGCCTTCCACATCTCGTTTGGGGGCCACGTCTAGCTTTTCCTGAAAGAGGGAGAGAGGAGAAGGAGATGTCAGGCACGACAGAGCAGACCCATGTTGGGAAGATCCAAGGGAACGGAATTATTGCTAAAAGGCCTACGCGCAGGAATCTTCTCCACTAAGGTTAGCCCCTGCTTGGAGTTCGATAAGGGTCAGTGGAATTCAAGGGAAGTTCCTTTGCGGCTATGCGGGGATTCTAGAGGGGGATATGCAGTGGCTCAGTGGCTAAGACGCTGAGCTTGTCAATCAGAAAGGTTGGCAGTTTGGCGGTTCGAATCCCTAGCGCCGTGTAACCACCTTTAATGAGAAGGTAACATCATTCTATGCGCCTTCTGTGTTTAGTTATGCCGGCCACATGACCACGGAGATGTCTTCAGACTGCGCTGGCTCTTCAGCTTTGTAATGGAGATGAGCACCGCCCCCTAGAGGCGGAAATGACTAGCACGGATGTGAAAGGAGGGGAACCTTTATATTTACCTTAGGGATTCTAGGCTAATCTCTCTTTTAACGCCACCCCCACCCGCCACTGTTTCTGCCATTCCTTCTCTCCTACAGGAGTAGAAATTCCAGTGAAATCCCCTAAGCTGTTCCACAATGTGAGAGACATTTAAAACACAAATGCAGAGCGACTCCACCTACTCACTACAGGCCCAATATGAAAGAATGACACGGATGAAATTGCCTAGCCGGGTAATGAAACGTCTGCAAGCCAAACCACCGAGTTCCGAAAAACACCACGCACTTCTGAAAAACGTACGTTCAAATTTCTCACTCTGGGCAATTCCAGATGTGTGGACTCGGAAGTTCCGGAATTCTCCACAGGGAGCATGCTCCTTGAGGAATTCTGGGAGTTGAAGTCCACAGCTCTGGAAGTCCCCAAGCTAGAGAAATGTCCCTTGACGGCATGGCCTTTAGGGCACTTTCAATCTCCCCAAGAGAAACCGTAGTCCAGAAGTTCACACTCTTTTAAAGCCCCTTGTGGGCAGGATCAGCCCCTAACGTGAGGTGACCTCCCACCTTTGAGACCCGGAAGCAGAACGATGTTGCTTTGGTGTTGGCCTTCTCAGCGTCCACCACCACCAGCCCTTTCTCCTCAGTCAGGGCCAAGTAGCGTCCCGTGGTGACATGACGGACACGGAAGGGTTGACCCCATTTCATGTGGCTGCCACTCCAGCTGTTAGGACAGAAAGAAACCCCAACTTTAACAATAAGGAAGACACTGTTTGGTTTAGTTTGGGATGAAGATGGTCAGTATCTTCTTGTTGATGGCTTAGCACGTCACGGTCGACCAACCGAAGATGGTTTCCAAAGATGGAAATATTCTCTTCGAAAGGTGGTTGATCCCATAAGCCAAAGATAAGTCACAATTTAGTACAACACGGATACAGACCAGCCTATCCCCAGTCAGATTTTAATTTTCTTTTCTCATGCGCAAGCAAATGAACATCAGTGTGGCATGAGAAGCTTCACCGAAGGTCCAAGGCAGAGTATCAGCTTTGGAAGCCATATTCCATACTGCCACATAGCCTGAGAAAGTGGGGATGTGTGTGTGTTGGGGTGAATTCAATTAAGTAGCTCTAAGTAGACAAAATAACATTCTTCTGTTAGTTCATTTAGTATGGCGCAGGATGAAATAAGGATCTTACTTTTGGACGGATCATGATTAGGCCATGGGGTGTGATGACAACCGAGAGGGGATAGTTTGGGAATTTGTGGAAAGCCTGAAAATTATAGATTTGGGATTCCACAGATGTGCCAGGTGTTATTCTAATAAAGGCACTTTTGAGATTATACTTGTCTTGGAGTTACTGATGGGAACGGAGGTTTGCTGTAACGCTGACAGAGACATGGTATTCAGCCGGTTTGGACCGGTTCTAAAGAACCGGTAGCGAAATTCAGAGTAGTTCAGAGAACCGGCAAATCCCACCTCTGACTGGCCCCGCCCCCATCTATTCTCCGCCTCCAGTCCCAGCTGATTGGCTGGGTCTTCCTTGGTTGCCCTGCACAGGAGAAGAGAGCTGGAAAGCAGGTCAGTGGGGTGGGGAGGAAATGGGGATTTTGCAGTAACCTTCCCCTGCCACGCTCGCCAAGCCATACCCATCAAGCCAGGCCCAAGACACACCACGTCCATCAAGCCACACCCAAGCCACACTACGCCCATCAAGCCACGCCCACAGAACCAGTAGTCCCACCACTGGTCCAAGATAAAGGTGAAGACCAAAGCATGGGAAAAAACCCCAGCCTACCTGATGCGCAGGGGCTCCAGGCGCCAGAGAGATCGGGCCTGGGAACAAACGGGACCTCCTTCATAGTTTACCAGCCTGCAGAGGAAATTTGAAAAAGGGGATGGGATTTAGCTAACGGATCGCTGAGTAGGATTCCACGGCCAAGTTCCCACTTTAGGCGACGTTTTCCAGGGATCTGTTTATGGCGGGCGACTCCAAACTTGGCCACTTTTAAGACTTGTGGACTTCAACTCCCAGAATTCCTCAGCCACGGGCCATGTCCACAAGTCTGAAATTCTGCCAACTTTAGAGAGTCTTGGTTTATGGCTTCACGCAACCTCTGAATCCGGCCAATATGACTTGTGAATGTGGTCAACTGCGCACTTCACACGCCACAACTTGCTTCCAGAAATTGTAGGTGCTCCAAAAGTAGAAGTTTTAGGGTCTCCTACCTAAGCAGCGGGTTGGACTAGAAGACCTCCAAGGTCCCTTGCAACTCTGGTACTCTGTTCTGTTAAGGCAAGGGTCTTCCAACTTGGCAAGTTTAAGACTTGTGAACTTCAACTCCCAGAATTCCCGAGCTAACATGACTGGAGGAGGAGGAGGAATTCTGGGAGTTGAAGTCCACACGTCTTAAAAAGCTGTCAAGTTTGATAACCCTTGTGTTAAGGCCTGCCTATTCATTCCTGGCTCTACTCAAGAGACCTACCTGCGCTGCTCTTCATTCGGGTCCGTGGTGGAGATGGTGAGGCATTCATCCATGTGGCCGTGGAAGAGGCGCATGACATGGCCGCCAGTCACATACCCTTGGGGGGTAGAGAGAGAGAGAGAGAGAGACGAGACGGCAGTGTGAGTCCAAAACCATCTC